ACCCATACAAACACAAACACACACACACACACACAAACACACCCATACAAACACACCCATTCTCACACGCATACGCTTACCTATACAAACACACACACATACTCACACACAACCATACAAACACACACACACACACACACACACACACCCATACTCACACACACATACACACACAGCTGAAGCAATGTGAGAACCAGAATCTGCAGGAGAAGGCGTGCTGCATGAAGGAGTCGGAGGAGCTCGAGCGCAAACTTTCGCAGGCCCTTAACAACTTGAACTGTACCTCCGGGGAAATCAATAAGCTGAAGAACCAGTGTCAGTGAGTGGCGAATGATTGATCATTGCTGTGGTGTGGCCTGCTTCCTCTTTTTTCTCGTTTCTAAACCCCTTTTTCTGGTCCTGTTCGAAATGTGGACGTTATTCCATTGGGAGTCTCTAAATTTTCACTGAGAAGTTGCAGTTTGTTACTCCACTGCTCAAAGGATGAGGGGTTGGAAGATGCTGGAGGCAGGGTCTACTTCTTTTCTTTCCCTCTTTTGTTTCTGCCGTTCTTTCATGCTTATTGCCTGCACTTAATGGTTGTTATGTGTTTATGTTCCTCTCTTTTTCCAAATAATTTTTTAAAAACCCTGAAAACCCCAAAAATTTAACCTGACAATTTTTTTAGACTGATGCAAGCCGGGCAGTAGATGGTTGCTTGGCGCTCTGGTTAGATTTGCTCCTTGTATTTCTTTGCACTGCTTCTCTTGTCCTTATTTGTTCATCATGAAATATGGTGGTTAACGAGGGTGGTTTGAAGGTGCTCTAGTGTGGTTTACTTCTTGCTATCAAACATCTGTCAAACTGATCTGTCCTTCATTTTTGTTTTTGTTACTCTCTGGCAACACCTCTAATCTTTGGCGCTTATATGACATTATTGTGTTGCAAGTGCTGTAAAACTTATTAAAACTGGTGGTTAACCATGTCCCTACTCTACTTTTTAAATGAGCCACCGTCTTGAGTACTTTTCTTCGTTAAGACTTTTGCCATAGTCAGACAGGGAGGGTTATGCAGGGCTGCCTAAATCTACCGATTTTTCCGGTAGATACCAATTTTGGGCCTGTTCTACCGCCATACCGATAAGGTGACAAAACTACCGAATTTGAGATGGATGGATGCCGAGAGAAAAACCCCCCACATTCTGCAGTTTTTCCATTCTTTTATATTTTTGCGGAAATCCGTACATTCCGGAAGTACCGTACTTGCCGCATCATCGTATCACCTCCCTGCGTTTAGAGAGATGAAGAGAGAGAGAGAGAGAGAGAGAGAGAGAGAGAGAGATCGGCACTTGCCTCAGTAACATGACATGTCAGATATTTACGGCAACTCTCGGCAACTACCATATTGCGCATTTTGTACACTCGACAATTGTCTATCTGTGCTGTTCAGTCGGCAATAGTTTTTCACGTTCAGATTGACTAAAATCTGTCTACTCACGATAGATAATCTTCCTCCTTCCTTTCATTCATTCTTTCTTTCTATCTTCGGGGTTTTTGCTGCGGCTGAAAAATCTGTATTTAATTCATTTATCTAGAAAACAGAATTGTGAATGTAGAAAGAAAATCGATATCGAAGCAAAACATTCTAAAATCTGTCTTGGTCAAGAGAATTGGTGAGTACCAAATGAGGATTCTACGCAGGATGACTGAGAATCGGAAAAAAAAAATCGCTGAGACCTGAGAAAATGCACAAAGTCCTTGAAACCAAATCTGAGTTCATATTTTACCAGTCGCGTTTGTGATATTACTTTGAGCTTTCCCCAGTCCGAGAGTACGTTTCGCGGTTCGCGGGAATAGGTTCCATCGGGAAAATCAAAATCTTCTTTTGCTTTCGTCACCGCTCAGAATTGTCCTTTAATAGTTTGTTAACGTTTGATTTACAGTTTATAAAAATTTGTAACATGCAGTTGTGCATAAAAAACACAGTGTCGCCATACAAATTAAATCGATATTCTCTCTGATGTCACTCTAATGACAAAAAAAGTAAGAAAAAGAAAACAAGCGTCCTCCGATTTCTAGATTGTCAGGCCCGTCATCGTGACCGGTCAGTGAACCTGTGCGATTTTGTATCATGTGAGTGTGGCATTAGTAAGGGACCGGCCGACGGTTACTGGGGTAATGAAAGTTCATTCAAAGTAGGAGTGTTGCAGGGCTTCGGAATTGAAGGGAAGTGTTTGACGCAATAAAGTCTACTGCAGCAGGATAAGAAACTGATTCTAAAATTAAAACGATATGTGGAAGTGGTTTTGGCATTCGACAATCGAATGCGTAAATGAGGGAACATTAGAGCACAGGCTTGATGATTGTATCTTCAAGGTTGGTGTTTCCGTATTTGTTGGATTTGTCAGTGATGACAAATTGAATAGTGGCAATGAGGAAATGCCATTTTCAACCCTTGGAAAGCTCTATGTTGGACGCCTATGCATCATGATGGCTTGTTGCTGATTAAAAAACTGGTCCTGTGATTTAGCATTTTGAAAAAAAATCAATACTTAGTCCATGATGCAGTGATTCACTGATTGCCAGGTTTTCAGTATGTAGTTTTCACTACATCCCATGCTCTCACAGTCCTTCCCGCTCCGGCTCTCAGTACATGCTCTCTTCTATTTTCACTTTTTGCTCTGCAGTAAGCCAAACTATAAAGGTTTTATAGATAAGTTTTGTCTTGCATGCTTTTTAAAATCCATGATTGCTGAAGCCAAACATGGTTTTGGCAGTTGATGTTCTTCTTGCCTCTCCTCAGGCCTAGATCAGGATTCATTTTGTACTTTAAGGGCAAAACTAGTTAAAATTTATTGTCTGTCATACCTAATTCACAAAGGACTTATCAGTGTCCTATGCTAGAGTCAGGAAATATGTTTTAATATAGTTTCTATTTGTATGAGCTAGCGGTTTTGAAGTCAGTTTGGCAATCACCTTGCAGTCAATTCCAGATTCAATACTGAGTGATAGGTACCTTGAAAGATAGTCCATAAATGCTTTTTTACAAGAAACCTCGCCTCATTTCATACACACTGTTCATCTTAACTTGTGCACACCCAACCACCCCCTTCCTCTCCCCACATGTATAAACGCACATGAGAACATGCGCACATGCACACACAGACACACACACACACACACACACACACACACACACACACACACACACACACACACACGCACATGTGATGGACTAACACGTTTTCAAAATATAATTACCCAATATAACGGAAAGCAAATGCATTCGATGGGGCAACGATCATCTTTTTTTTCCTTCTTTGTCTTTGTACTACCTGATTTTGGGCCATACTACCTGAAACTGACCCTGAATCTACCTGAAATGGGAACTTTGAGGTAGGCAGCCCTGGTTATGGGTGTTCATTTGCTCGCCTGGCATTGTCTCCTTTTTCTATTTACATATTTACATCACCTATTTTATATTTGTCTTTCTGTAATAGTTGTATAGTGCAGAGAGCATGCTGCAGATTGTGACTATGTGCTATATAAATGTAATTCAGTTAAATTGTTACGACTATTTCATTCCAGTACTTGCCATGTCCCAATTTGTTCTCCTTGAAATGTGGCTGTTATCATGTCAACTTGCACTAAAATCGAACTGTGCTCATGTGTTCATCATCATCATCATTGCCTTTCTCACCTGCACCTGGGTATAGGCCACGGACGAACACTTTCCACCTTTCTCTATCCTGGGCTAGCCTCTTGATGTTATTCCATGTCTTCCCACTTTTCTATACTTTAATTTCTGTGATTCTTCTCCAGGTTCCACGCGGCCTTCCCCTCGATCTTTTACCCTGTGTATTCCAATCCAACACTTTCTTTGTTATGCAGCTGCCGTCTAATCCATCGCCACCGCCTTCCTCCTATCTCATCTCTGACTGGGATCTGATTGTTTTCCTTAACGCTTCCTCCTCATTGGTGACCCTGTCTGTCCATCTGACCCTCAGTAACTTTCTTAGACACTTTTTCAAGAAAACCTGGATCCTCTTTATGCAAATCTGTGATGCGTTCCATGTCTCACATCCATACAACAGGACTGACTTCACATTTGAATTGAAAATCCTCAGTTTTGTTCGAAGTGAGATATCTCTGGTCTTCCAAATCCTTTCCAAAGATATGAAAGCAGCCTGTGCTTTTCCAATGCGAGACTTTATTTCAGCACCTGTTCCTCCCTCTATGTCAATTATACTCCCAAAATAGTCAACTTGCACTAAAATCAAACTGTTCAAAATCAAACTGTGCTCAACCCCCTGGGGCAGTGCCTCTGACTGAAGTGTCTTTAGGCCATTCCCAAAGGGGGGACATATCTCGTTCAAGCATAGCAGAATTGTAAATGGGCTGACTCATGTCACGCTCCTAACTGTGCCTGATCTACAACAGGGAACTGCTGCTTTTTCTTTCCTGGTCCTTACTATTGTCATTTTCCCCTACTTCTTTTGTATATTTGTCACGCCCTTGTGACCTGCTATTTTGGGGTGCCTTGATAGTCGAAGCAGACGTTGTGCTGTTGAAGCTAGAGAGGTGAGCAGAGTAAGTGTGATTCCCTGTAAAGACTTCTCTGTTGACACCCAACCCTTGGCGCTCATATGACCTTATGCAGTTGCGAGCGCCGTAAAACCCTCTACTATAAAAAAATTTTAAAGAAATATATATATATAAACTGTGCTCATGTGTTCATGAACCTCTTTTTTTTTTTTGAATAGAGAAAAGTCGAACCAGATTGACAACCTTACAACAGAGAAGAACAGCGTCACTCGAGACCTGCATTCGTGCAAACAGAAAGCCTGTGAACTACAGGACCAGCTCAACAAGATGGAGGCGGACAACACAGAGCTGTGCCAACAGCTTCATCACAAAATGGAGTGTAGTAAGTTGTTTGTGGCACAAAATCAGTCTATGCTGACAGGCCTCATTGATGCCTTAAAGCAACATTTCTTTACACCCCCCCCCTTCCTCTCTCTGTCCCTCTGTCTCTCTGTCTCTCTCTCTCTCTCTCTCTCTCTCTCTCTCTCTCTCTCTCTCTCTCTCTCTCTCTCTCTCTCTCTCTCTCTCTCTCTCTCTCTCTCTTTCGTGCTGTCCCTGTAGAATTATGCAAATTTAGAAGGCCAAATTATGCACACAAAAAAAAGCAAAATTATGCAACCGTTACCGTAACGCCATTTGCGACATGTTTTGCTCTTTTTCAACACGAAGTTTCATGATTTTCATGTTTTATGTACCGAAAAATAGAAAACAGAACTATAGAGATAAGAAGTTTGTTGTGTATTTGGAAAAGAAAACAATACACATCAGTAAAGATAAAAAAAGCTACCAAAAAATATAATCTCTGTAACTTTCAGCTGTAGATTCTAGATCTAGATCTAGATCTATAAAGGAAAGAAAAATGTTCAAAAAAAAAAAAAAAAGGACATCTGAACCTCTGATGCTGGCACATTACTAAAACCAGGGACACCTGTCAAACATGAAACATCAGCAGACATGAGAACAACTTTTGATGGATTGAAAAATTCAGAAACAAAATCACAACCCATAACCAAGATCTTCTAACAAAGGAAATAACCAACTTTTCACTTAAATGAAACTTTTTACGGTGATTACGTCCCTTTACTCACATGGCGAGGTGTTAATTAATTGTTTTGTTTAAAAAAAGGGAAAAAACGTGGAGAATCCAAAATTATGCAAATGTTGCAGAATTATGCGAAAAAACGCGGCCGCACAATCGCATAATCCTACGGGGACAGCTTTCGTGTATGAGTGGTTGGTGGGTGCTCTGGTTTAGTCTGCCTTCACTGTGATCTTTGTTTTGTACTCTGTTCCTGAAGAGACGTGTACAAATTCGTGCTTGCTTCCTGTCGTTTGCAATAAGATGATCACTCAACATCTGACCTCTGTCCACAGTCAAGGACTTGGAGACAGCTCTCTGTAACAAAGACCATGAGCTCAAGGCTTGCACTAGGTGCCTTGAAGAGCTGAACAACAAACTGGCAACGTGTTCATCAGTGAGTGCCATTTTGTCCTCTTAAAGCGTATAGATTGCATTTTCCGTCATATTGTACTGTACTTTGAGTTAAAAAATTAATTTGAATTTTGTACATTTGCCTGTAGATTTTAATTAAATTAAATGTTGGTTTTTTTGTTTGTTTTGCAGTCATTGTTATTCCTAAACTTTGCTGAGGAACTAATTTTCTGTCATGTCATTTAAGTGATCTAATGATGTTAATCAAATATACTGACTATTTCACGAAATGGTACTTTTTTTTTACGAACACATTTTGTATTCTATCCTCCTGGAGAGTTCTTTTTATTTTAAAGACGAAATTACAGGAAGAAAATGGTGCTAACGATTTACCTTTGGCAAAGCTCGCATATTCTCAATCGCTGGCTGGGTGCAAGAACCCTACAAGTGCCAATTGCCAGCGAAATGAGGCTAAATAAATTTTCAGGATAAAAAATTACTTCTCTTCTTGTTGCAAAGAAAGTAACTTTATTTTGTATAGAAATGCTAGCCTTTTGTTTGAATTTTGCATGACTAATCGTATTTTATTTCTCCTTTTCCACATGTTTTCTAGAACCAGGTGAGGACTTTTTCCATTAGTTTGTATTTGACAGTTTGCCACTACTTTTTTTTCATTTTTTTTCAAGCTATTTGTGTGCTTTTGTTTTGGCCTTCTGTTTTGAAATTTTCAGTTAATGATTGTTTAAGAACATTGGCGCACCTTTGATTAACCTTTTAATAAGTATCAAAAGTAATTTGAAGTGTTGTATAAATGTTGTTTGACAAAGACTGGTAATAATTTTAATATTTTAGCATTTTAAAGTCTAATAGTTAACCAACCGTGCAGTGAACTTTTGCGAATGTAAACAACTTGTGTTTCGCGCGCTCATATAACCTTACGCAGTTGCGAGCGCCGTAAAACCCTATAGTACTACTACAAAGACTGGTAAAGCTTATTATGTTGTATACAAAATGTACAAACACCTGTTAAATGGCAACTTAAACTGAATACTTTCCAGGCGGCTAGGAATAATATGTACAGGTCTGTTAAGCTAATGAATTTTTAAGTGCATGCAGTCTGCTTTTTGAACAGGGATACGCGCAATAGATGCATTCTGTTTTTGTTATTATTATTAGTATTATTGTTATTTGTTGTTGTGCTTTAATTATTTCAATCTATTTTTTGGAGGGGCTCTCGTGGTCTAGAGGTTGCGGTGCTTGCCTTTTATTCATTTGGTCACGGGTTTTAAAGCGATGGAAAATTTTCTTCTCTAAAATGTTCTCCTTTCACCTCCTTCCCAACTCTCTAACCATGTTCTGTCACTTGCTTTCCTCTTCACGTTTTGCGCCCCCCCCCCCCCCCCCCTCATTTGTTCCTTCCTCTGGGCTTGTGACTTTCTGCAGCCTTTCTACAGCTACTCCTTGGCTCCTTTCTGCTGTCTTTCTGCCACACTCCTGATCTTAGGGTAGGTAAGATCTACTCCTCGCCTTCTCAGATAAGGACTAAAAATCTCGGAGGTCTTGTATGGAAGTTAGGCACGTTACAGATCTCTTAGTGGCTAAAATCGATAAGAGTAGGCGTCCCCCCCCATCCCCCCTCCTCCCACCAGCAAAATTCAAATTAATTCCTACCTAACTGAAACATTTGAATGTGTCTCTGGCGTTCATATGACCTTATGCAATTGCGTGCACCATCAAACACACACAAAAAATACAACTTCATAACGAAGGTTGCTGTTTTAATTTCGACTCACTATAAAGCACTATGTGATAATTCTCTCTCTCATCAGATGATAGAGTTTGGATGTTGTCTTGTATTTCTTTTATATATTTCTATTTTTCTGCAGCATTCATGTTGACTCTACACACAACAAGAAATATTTGTGACAAAATGTTGATTGTCATTTTAAAATGATTTTTATCAGAAGATTTTTAAGCATTTTAATCTGATCATTGACCAAAACCAAGCTGTGCTGGGAACTGTTGTGCCTGCAACCAACTTGTGTTTTGTGCACTCATATGACCTTAAACATTTGCAAGGGCCATAAAACTCTTACTTAACAATCCTAGTGTTGCAATGTCATGTTCTTCGCTGGCTAGGTGCAAGAACCCAACAAGTGCCAATTTGCTGGCTTAACAATCCTAGTGTTGCAATGTCATGTTCTTCGCTGGCTGGGTGCAAGAACCCAACAAGTGCCAATTTGCTGGCTTAACAATCCTAGTGTTGCAATGTCATGTTCTTCGCTGGCTGGGTGCAAGAACCCTACAAGTGCCAATTTGCTGGCTGGGTGCAAGAACCCTACAAGTGCCAATTTGCTGGCTGGGTGCAAGAACCCTACAAGTGCCAATTTGCTGGCTGGGTGCAAGAACCCTACAAGTGCCAATTTGCAAGTTGGCACTTGTAGGGTTCTTGCACCCAGCCAGCGTTAATCTGTTATCACTGGAACTTTTCCTGCTTACCCAGGCAGACACCAAAGCAGAGATCAATTGTCTGATGGACAAACTCAAGGCCTGCTGTGACGAGCTGCTCAAGAAAAACCGACTGCTCTGCGAATGTGAGGAAGCCCTGAAGTACGTACTGATGTCTCTTGTTGCATTGTTGTGCCTGTTATGTGTACAATTTATACATCTTTTAACTCACTGAGCCCTAGCCAGTCTGGAATCCTTATGATTTCCATTGTACTGGCCATTTTCATACTTTTTTCCAAAAAAATTCTCAGGAATGTAAGTTAAGTACTGGTACTTTTTTTTATTGGAGTATGGTCCTATTTTTTCCCCTTCAAAGTTCATATTTTAACCCTTTCAATGTCAAATAAAAGGATCATGGACTGTAGGTGAAAGACATGTCTTTTTTTACCTCCACAACTCCTCTAATCTTCGGCCATTATACAATCTAATTGTATTGCAAGTGCTGTAAAACTCTTTGTTAAGACAAAGCCTAATCTTGGATATGACAACACACCTGAGATCGGTCTGTGTCCAGTATGTGTATGTGTGTGTTTATGTGTGTCAACAGGCATTGCCAGACAGAAGTTCAGGCAAAATGTGAGGAAATACAGGGACTCAACTGTCAGTTGGAGGAGGTCAACTGCAAACTGCAGGAGAGGATTGTGAAGGTAGGGCAGAGCAGAACCTAGCAATTCAAAGTTAATAGTGAAGTGCTTACCAACTGCGAAATGTATCCTCTAGCACTGCAGGACACACAGAATTTCGAGACAGGAAATGTGACCAACCCTATTAAGACAACAGAAGACTATATGGACCAACAAAAAAACCGAGTTGGACGACTATGTGATGGATACCAGACTTCAAGTGTGATGTGATGAAGAAGAAGAAGAAAAATGCTTACCTATATTCATTTTTCACCCCTCAAGGCCCATAAGACTTTGCAATAATTCCCTTGGCTGACCAATATATTCTAAGTTATTTTTTCAGTGGAGTTTGTTGGATGTTTACTGCTGCTCTTCGCATTATTAAAAAGGCCGAGAGATAGAAATGGTTAAAAATCATTTTCCTTTTTTTTATTATCAAAGTGATCAATTTATACCTACTGGAAAAGTTCGGGCTCTAGTGTTGTTTTTTGGGCTCTCTGATGTATTTGCTCCTTCTGCTTCTGTTTGGTATTGTCATTTTCCTTACCTGTTCCTTGCAAAATGCTGGTGGTTGGAGATTGGCTCTTGTAGCTCCTGCTTTATTAGCCCTTTATTTTTTTTGTTAGTCCATGTTGCTCTGTGCTAGCACAACGTGACCCTAACACTTCAATGTTTTTTTCTTTGACTCTGGACTAAAGAACTCAAATCTAGTAGTAGAATGTGGCCTTAAACTAAAACAGGGCAACTGTTTATCTATTTCTGTTGCACCTGCGAAATGTAGCAGTTATTCTGCTACCTCGTTATGAGAGTCAGTGTTGGAGATTCTCCCAATGTGCAGTGTCTTCTTTGTGTTAGACATGGGTGGTTGGCGGGTACTCTGTGTGGTTTGCTTCTTCTTTCCTATCAAACATCTATCGTCAATATTTCCCTTCCTTCCTTTTTGTGTTTGTTACACTCTTGTAACACCCCTAATCTCCGGCACTTATATGACCTTATTGTGTTGCAAGTGCCGTAAAACTTTTACTAATACTAACCTTTGTGTCAGGTCGAGGAACTGGAGAAAGCCATTGAGGCTTTGCATAAAGAAACTGACAAGCGAATGAAGCGTGTGGATGAGCAGCTACGTCGCTATGAGTGTGAGCTCACAGACAAAGTCAGACAGGTGAAAAGAGTTACCTCTGACCTTAGCCTATAACGCTATTTCCCCAGTAGGAAGAACATTTCTGTTCCTGTGGGAAATAGGAATAATTTCTCTGTGTTATCTTTTTTGTTATTGTTAATGATACTTACTTTACTTACTTTATACTATATTCTTCCGCTTGAACCGGTGGGTGTGGCGGGGAGATAAAGGCCTCTTTCTGAAGCAAGGCGAGTGGCCTGGAGGAGGAACATCCCGTGAGCTCTGAGGGTGTCTGCTACAGATTGTTATTGATGAGTTATGAAAATTTCCACACTTAGGTTGCCTAGTTTGTTGGGTGCTGTTGATCAGTACTCCGATGTTAAAAACTGCCAGGCAAACTCATTTGAACATGTGAGGGTCACTACCATGTACGATTAAGGCCTGTCCCACCCTACACCTTGTTTTGAAAATAACTGCCTGACCTGAGGAAGGGGGGCATAACACTGTATGAGAGAAAACTTGCAATAGAAATTACCTGCAAAAGTAACCAGTTATGATAAAAATGCCAAGTAAACTGCAAAAGTCAGTACATGGACTGGATTTGTTTCTAGGCCTACATCTCCATTTTCTGGTTGATGAAGGGTGGTCCACTGATCAGTTGTAGTTCTAGTTTCCTTTTCGTCTGTGACCAATTTGACAACTAGATCTCAGTCCACATGAATGTCTGACTGCTGTGAACTATTATCAAAGAAGATTGAAATTGGCCATGAGTGACTGCATAAGAATATAATTTTGAAGTAATATTTTGTTTGTATTTCAATTTTATGTGTCAAATATATCCTATCAATTACCCACTCACTGGGTTTTTCAAATAGCACGGTCAATGTACATAACTGTGAAAATATAATATGCTTCTCTGTTACTTCCAGGATTGTTGTTGTAGTCAACTTTGTCTTACCTCCACTTTTGTTTCCTATCTAATTTGACTTGCAAAGTAAACACTTGCCGTGCTGTGCTACGAACTAATGTGAAAATAGCAAACTTGTTTCTTGTGCACTCATTTGACCTCATGCAGTTGAGAGGGCTGTAAATCTTACCAAGCGATTCTATCTAAAAAGTCAGTCTAGGACAAATGGGAAAAAAAGCAAACATAATGTGGGACACTATCAAATGTAAACTGAACTGCTTTTTCCACTTTGTGAACAGCTAACTGACTTAGATGAGTGTCTGAATCGGTGCCAGCACAACTTGAACGAGAAGACCAACGAATGTTGCCAGTTGGAACAGAGGAACAACCGCCTCTGCGGAGACATGCAGACTCTTTCCTGCAAACTCAGGGACATGGAGGAGGTAACTTCGCAGCTACTCACAGGCTCTCCCCCTCCCCCCTTCCCCCCAATGAGAATAGAGAGTATTTTAGTATTCCATGGGGATTTTTACCCTTTCACTCAAAGGGATTTGAGCTCATGTAATTTAGCCATTCTCCCCTTCGTTGTAAGACAATATAACCTCATATTGTGTGAAAAGTGTACGATTTAAGTCTCTTTTTAAATGTTCTTATTGTGTGCCTACCACATATCTCTTTCTACATATCTCTTTCATGGAAATTACAGTTATTAATTTTTTTTTTCAGAAAATTGTTCAAATATTTTTTTATGTTCTTTTTGGGTTGAACATAAGTTCTGATTTTTTTGTCTTTTCTAGCAACGCGATTGTTGTGGCAAACAGTTGAGCGAGTCCAAGGCTGAGAATGCAGAGATCACTCAGGAATTGCGAGTCACACGGTACATTATCTTGGGTGTAAATGTCTGAGGAAGTGCTCTTTATTTTCAGCAATAAGTACCTTGCACTGAACTCTGTGTGCTACTCCTTGTGTCTGTGGTGGTCCATGAGTGCTCTGATTGGGTCTGCTTCAACCAGATTTTGATTGCGTTTGGTGTCAACAGTATATTCAAGAAATTTGGCAGCAATTTAGGGGCCTCCAATGGCTGAGTGGCTTGCAAGCTCTGGCTCTGAAACAATGTCAAACAATGTTGGTGACAGCATTTAGATGGTTGGTCACTTGGGTGTGTTCATGAACAAGACAAGATAACCCGAGCAAAGAAACATGTGCTGCGCAATGGTGACTAGCAATGACATGTTTGTATAATTGACTTATTGGTGGGGGTATATTGTGTATTATGTGACATTTTTGTAAACTCTGAATTATTTTATATGTGCATTGTACTTGCTTTTGTAACCCAAATTCCCCAATGGGATCAATAGAAGTGGTATTTAAAAAATATTTTCATCTTCCCAACTTACTGTGAACTACAAATCAACAGCTTCTGTTCTGGGAAAAAATGTGGTCATTGTTGTAGACTATTTCAAGTTAATAAAATAATATTCACCTACTGGTTAAAAAAAATTGTGTGTCAATCCGCTGAATTGCCATTGAAAGCAGCTGCTACTGAGAAACCATTTCTTGTTGCATGGCTTAAACTGTCCATAAGGTGTAAAGAATGCTTTTTAGAAGCAAAAAATATGCGCTTTCACTGATTAACTCAGCAAAAGCTCTAACACACTTCTGATATCCCAGGGAGGAGCTGCAGACACAGCACCAAGAGCTGGTGGAAACGCGGCAGGCGCTGACGTGCTGTAACCGCGAGGTGGAGAAAGCACGGCGGGAGATTGATGAGCTCAATAATATATTCGAGGTCAGCCCGGCAATGATTGTGTGTGTGTGGGTGTCCCCTTTATTTGAAAACATGTTCTTAACTGTGGATGAAACATTATTTTGTGGCACTGTCCCTGTATCAAGGTTTTGTTTATGTTCTTAACGTTTAATTTCTTGAATACTTTTTTATCCTGATATATGAAAATATCCTTGCTTGGTTTTTATTTATTTATTTATATATTATTTATTTATTATTTATTTGTTGGGTTGTTGGGTTTTTTTATTTGTTGTTTTTTTTGGTTTTCTTTTCTTTTCTTTTCTTTTCTTTAGTTTTATTTTTTTTATTTTGGGTTTTTTTATTTTTTTAGGAAAAAAGGAAGGGGGGCGTTGCCTCATTTGCATGTGCGTCAACATAATCAACAGTTTTTCACAAGCTTCTTCACTATTGACATCCATAATAAGCTCATTTCACACTTCATCGACTGTACAGGATCGCTTTACCATCATTCAAACTATTCAAACCAACTAACCTACATTCAAATGAGCACTGACTAAATGGCTTGAGAGTTATTCTATTGAAGTGCTCTCCCAGCATTATTTCTGCAAGAGAAACCACTGGTAAAAACAAAATGGGTTAGTTTTGGAGATATCATTCCAAATGGGGAATCCCTGTGTGCATGCAGTTTAGGACAAATTATGAGAAAGGGAAATCCCTGGATGTGGTATGAATTGTGTTAAAATTCAGAAATCATGATGACCTTGTTGATAATTGGAACATTTTGAGTTTTTCAGGTATCGCCATCTTATTGCCCCTTGCTGACTTCAATCTTATGTCTGTTAAATATTTTGTGTTTAATCGAGATATAGTCTCTTTTGTAGGGTTTCAGCCTGATCAGTTTGTTTCTTGTGGTGACCATTCTGCAATCAAGTCAAATTTGGTTACATATGTCTTGCTGTCATCGATTTTCAGAGCACATCTATTTTTTAATACGTAAAATTTTGGTTTACGTCAATCTTCTTTGGATCTTCTCCAGAAAAAAGAATGTGAGATGAAACAGCTTTGTGAAGATAAGAACTGCCTGCTGAATAAGATAGCTCATCTGCAGTGTCGTATGGAGTCTGAAGCAGCTCAAGCGGCACAACAGATGGCTGACCTCAAGTGTCTCATGGAGAAAGAGGTTAGAGGTCACAGGTCTTGTTTGTCATGGGTTTTCATGGCTCTTTTTGAGGGAACACAAATGATTAGTGGCACACATTGATCAGCTTTTGATATAGCCTTGAATCTCAGTACTATGTTTTTATCCAACTTTGAGCATCGGACCAAGCAAATTCTAATGGGATGAATGGCTTATGTGAAGGATTTATTTAAATAATTATGTGATAGGAAGTGCAGCCTCACCAGAGAAGGGCAGCTGCCTTTGGTCCCTGTGTATTGTGGTCACCTTGAATGGCAATGGTTGCCTTTAACATACCATGAGAATAACTATGTATGGCAATTTGTAGTTTTATTTCAAACATATTGTGAAAGAACCTCCATACACCGCTTTGAAAAGGGACGAATGATTATATTCTTACACTGAGTAGTCAATTCGTAGATTAGAGGTCCCATGGGTTGACAGAATTAATATACTAGTCCAGACATTGATGGTGAAGCATATGGTGAAGTCTCTGCAGAGATTATATACATAGACAAAATGGTTCTTTCCCCTATTTGAGATACTAGTAGTAGTAGTAGTATAGGGTTTTACGGTTTTTTGAGATACTAATACAAAATGAAGTTCTAAAGAATACTGTTGGCTCCTGATACTATTTTTTGTTAGTGGCATGTCTTGCATCAAAAAGTTGAAATAAAGATTTTCCTATAAGAATTTTTCTTTGAGATATGAAATGGTAAGATGATGACTTAATTTTGCACCTTTGATCCATAAATAATTAAAGCGAACACATTTTCTTGATATTCCTGTTTAAGTCATTCAAGCAATGACATAAAGAAAAAATTAGGGTTTTTTAATATTCAGAATGAAAATCTGAAATTGTCTCCCTGGCCCTTACTGTGAAATCTGTGCTATCTGTGCACCCATATGTGAGGCATTGTGAGGAAATCAGGTGCTCGTCAAAATGAAATGCGAAGAAATTTGCATTTTTCTGTTCGTTTGGCAATTTTTAAGAAAAATTTTTGTTTTTGACTCAACACTTTTCATGTCCTTTTAAAAACACATTTCTGTGTGGATTTTACTGAAAAATGTTGATTTAAGGCACAGAAATGTAAATTTGCAGCTTCTAAGGGCTCTCAGTCTTTGAAAGTCGTCAAACTTTGGCAGAGTAGGAAGTGGTTGTTTGTACAGGGCTTGTTTTGGATAGATGGTTGTTAGGTTCTCCTGTATGTTTTATTTTGTTCTATATTATCGTCTAGATGGAGAGCATGCGGTTGTGTGTGACGGAAGTGGAGGAGAAAAACTCTTGCTTGATGCAGAAGTTGACCACTACCCAGCGGCAGCTGCAGCAGGTGGAGAAGTGTTGCCACCAGAAGTTAGACAGCCTCAACCGCGAACTTGAGGATCTGCTTAATCGCCTGGCGGACAGAGAGGACCAGATCGCCGCTTGCAAGGATTGCATCAACATGAAGGTTTGTACTTTGTTGTGTGGTACTGTTATACGTGGTAGAACTGCAGACATGCCTGTCAATTCAGCTAGGTCCCATCGGAGATTGTTGTTAAACTCAAGAGGTCCCTCCTCATGAATAACGTTGTATTGTTGAAGTGGTTGTTAAAACTATGCAATGACAATGAGATGTGCACTTGGTGCATAAGGTTAAAGTCACATAACTGGGGGCTCCAGTATGAGAATAGTCAGTGAACTCGGGCTTACAAATAGTGTCAAGCAACAGTGAGGAAACAGCACTTAGGTGGGTGGTCTCTAGGGTGTGATCTTTAGCCAAATACGGAACCTGGAGAGGTTGGTGGTTTGGTTGCTCTGATATGCTTTGCTCCTTCTTTCCTATCAAATATTTAGCATCCTCCTTTTAGTTAAGTTTCAGTAAAGGTTTTACGGCGCTCGTAACTGCATAAAGGTCATATGAGCGCCAGAAGATTAGAGGTGTTACAAGAGAGTAACAAACATAAAAAAGAAAAACGGGAGATAAGGACGATCGATGTTTGATAGGAAAGAAGAAGCCGACCACACCAGAGCACCTGCCAACCAACGACATCCTCCTTTCTCCTCCTTTGTTTTATATTACTCTCTAGTTACACCACTTATCTTCAGCGCTTACAGTACCTGTTTGTGTTGCGAGTGCTGTAAATCTCTTACTTTAACTAAAATTAAATGCTTGCTAGAATAACCCACTGGCCCTGTGTTGTGACTACCAACAGTGGTGTGTTTGTAAAATTGTATTGGTATGGTATTATATATTATGTTAAATATTTGTCATGTTGTGGTGGTGACAGCTTGTAAATGTCAACCGGGCCTGTCCCATTTGAAAATAAGGCCACTGCTAATAAAAGGTTAAAGATGTACTTTTTAATGTTATATTTTTTGTAAAACAGAATATGATGGTGAATAACCAAGAACTTTATTTTCTCGGCAAATTTGAGTATATTCATGCTGAATTTTTCACAGAATGGCTCTTTGAGGAGTTTAATCCGTTTGAGACTCAGTCAAGGCAAAGAAGTTGTGGCATCGGGACAAAATAACAGATTTCCCTGGTTTTTAAAAAAATTATTGTTTATTCCAATATCTCAAATGTGGCGATTTTTTTCATTGTTTTCTCTTAGTGTCTATGATGTTACGGTATAGCTCTTCACCTTGCATGCTGAGGACATGAGGTCGATCCTCTGCATCAAAAACCCTTTCCAGATTATCTTTATCTTTGTATTGGGATGTTTCCCACAAAGCCCAGGTAGGACCTGACATGCAGAGTGGAAGATCTCAATTGTGTCAATGAGGATGCAGAACAATTAGAACAGCTTACCTCTATTTCATATTTTTGTTTCCTATGTGTCACGAGGCGGTGGAATCAGGTGCTCATCAATTTTTGTGCATGTGGAGTTACTGGTATCATCTTACAGCTTGTTCATTTATCTTGCTTTTGATGGAAAAAATACCCATCTATCTTGAGCAGAAATGAAGATATTCGTGATTGAAAGAGGTAAGTTCACTTGGTTTCAGCGGTAAAAACAGCGAGAAAATGGCTGCCAAAGTTTGGTAACTTCAATAGCTAAAGAGTCTTTGAAAACTGAAAAATTTACATATTTTGAGCTTCTAATCAACGTTTTTCAATATAATTCACATGGAAATGTTTTTATTTGGACATAAGAGGGTTGATCAAATAACAATTTGATTAAAATTGCAAATACTGGTGGGAAAATGCCTGTTTCTCCAATTTTGTAATTTTGACGAGCGCCTGATTTCACCATGATGCCTCACATTTGTATGTGCAGTGTCCAGAGGTGTGCTTGTGGTTCTTAATGATTTTGTTTGATTTGTGCAGCTCCTGAAAAATCCTATCAAATTCTACAGGAATCTGAAATTATGCGCTTGAAATTGCGTTTGTGCAACTGTGACCGGAACTGCAGCAACAGCAACCAAATGGATCGTAACAGTGAAGATGTTGATGGAGGTCGGCTGAGCCCCCCGGTACAGGACGACATTGGCATGCCTAACCAGGGCAAGATGGTGGCTATAACTGCACAGGGCAGAAACTCTCAGCTGGACAGTGACCTTGACAGTGAGGATTTTGTGGAACAGTCCAACCGGTATAGTTATTTTGACCTTCCAAGGGTGGATGTTAGAAGTCTGTGGTATCAAGGTTAAGTGTTTTCACTACAAGTCATAAAGTTCATGAAACATAACGATATCAATCCCAAATTTTCTGTAAGCTCCATGACTGGGGCTTTCGTGGCCTAGAGGTTAAGGTGTTAGCCTCTCATTCAAAGGTCTTGGGTTCGAATCTGGGTAGTGGCGGAAACAATTTTTCTCTAAAATTGTCTCCTTTCACCTCTTTTCCTGCTCTCTAGCAATGTTCTGTCCTCTGCTTTCTTCTCCACTTGCAGCCCCCACCCCCTCACCTCCTTTGCCCCCTCCTCTGGGCTCCCCACTCTTTATTCAGCCTTACTACTGCTACTCCTTGGCTCCTTCTTACTGCTGTCTTTCAGCCACACACCTGATCTTATGGTAGGAAAGATCTATACCTAGCCTTCTTGGACAAGGGCGAAAAATCTTGGCGGTCCCATGTACAAATTGCGCATGTTAACTCTTTATCTCCGCAAGCCGCTAGCGGCTCGCTGTTGGAACCATTGTGCCGGTGTCAGCGGCTCAGGCACATTCCTTTACAACAACTTTGACGTCAAATTACTTTTCAACAGGTCTCTTGTTTTATCGGGATTTCACGCATAAGATGAAGAACTATCAAAATAGGTTCACCTGTTTTGATTTAATTACCAATTAGGTGACGATTTTGTCATTTTTAGATTTAGTACCAAAAACGGGCCCGGCGTAGTGGGTTTGCCCCCCTTGGACATAAAGAGTTAAAGATCCCTTGGTGGTCTAAAATCGATAAGAGTAGGCTTCGACCACCACCCGAGCAAAATTCAAAGTTTCATTCCAACTGAAAATGTTTATGTGTCCCGTGCGCTCATATGACCTTATGCAATTGCGAGCGCCGTAAAACACTTACCAAAAAAACAAACAAACAAGAAGCCTGATGGCTTCGTACAACAGTCCAATCTGGAATAAATATTTTTCAGCTTTCTGCTGACTTACCATAATCTCCGTGTCTGTTTACTCTTTTTGGAGCTTGAGTGAAATCTTTAAAAAACAATTTTTGTATTAAAAATAAAAAAGCAAATCAAATGACTTAGAGGTAGTGTATTGACTTTTCTTTCAGACATTGTGTGGGTTTATTTCTTTTTGGCTGTAATGATTGACTTGCCTCCTCTCTTGAGACAACACATGGAAACCAAAGTATAATTACTGACAAAAATCAAGAATCTATTTCAAGCTGCATTGGTACTGAATCATTCACCCTTGAAGAACAAAGGAAAAAAGTAAAGTTTCTGATTTTCTATGATTCTAGAAGCTTTTCTGGCAATGAATGTGGAAGCTACCCTTTACCTTAGTCTCATCACAACTGATATGACTTCATTTAAATTTGTTGTTAGATCTCATTCTTTTTTTTTTCAATCTGATGGAGCATCAGAAGTCTGGTGTTGGTCAGTCATCTCCATTCCCCACGGAATCTTCCTTTTTTTTGGTTTATTGATTATAATCACTCTGTGTTGTTTGCTATTTGTACGGTATTTCTGTTTCGTTGGTATTGTATTCGTAGCCTCTTGTTGGGGAAGTAAAGTGGTTGGAGGGCCTGACTGATAGGTGTTTTTTTTCCTTTCCCCTCCGTTGTTTCAGTTGATACATGTTGTCTTTTCTCAGTACTAAATGACAATGGTCATGTCAATTTGGTTATCTTTACTCAACTAAATTATTACAAAATGACTTTCTGTTAACTACAGCATCTGAACTAAAATTCAGCAGGGCTTTGCTTCAGGTGAATGAGTTCCCTAATAGTATGTATGCACATCAGTGGTTTTGGTCCAATCATGGTATCCAAATTCACCTATTTCTTTTTCTAGGTCTACTTCAGATCAAACGTATAAATATGCCAATGAGAAGGAGTCAGTGTAGCTAATCAAAGGTTGATCTGAATTTTTTGCATGCTGTTTATGGACTGAAACACAATCCTGACTCGCTTTGCCTTCTGAATGAAGTACGCACAGCTTGGGCTGAGCCTAGTGAGTCATGTCGGAGCAAATTGGAGGTAACCTTAAACACGCAAATGTTCACTGTCCAGCTCACCTTCCAAACCCGCAAGGTTGATAATGAAACAAAAGAAATCTGCCCACGTAACACCAATTCTGAAAGAACTACACTGGCTGCCAATAAAAGAAAGGATTAAATACAAAACTGCCGTTCTCTGTTTTAAATGTATAAATGATAGTGCACCTTTTTATCTTAAAACATTCCTGGAATTATATAATCCACCTAGAGCCCTTAGATCAGCCTCTGACAATCTAATTCTTAAAACTCCAAAACAAAACTACAAAACATACGGCGAGCGTTCCTTTTTGTTCTTTGGTCCCCAGGTATGGAACGAAATCCCATATAAAATAAGATCTGCCCCAACAATTTCCATTTTCAAAAATCAGCTGAAGCATTTTTTATTCACAAAAGCATACCTGTCATAATGATGTACTGTGATATATATGCATGTGTATGCCAGACTGTGAGACTGAAGAAATAGCGAGTGAGAATGAGAGAGAGAAAAAGAGAGAGATAGAGAGAGAAAAGAGAGAGAAAAGAGAGAGATAGCGAGAGAGGTAGAGAGAGAGATAGAGGGAGAGATAGAGGGAGAGGGAGAGAGAGAGAGACAGACAGACAGAGAGAGAGAGAGAGAGAGATAGAGTGGAAATGTTTTTCTATCTGTATAGAATTAATGTTTTAATGAATGTTTCTAGTTACTCACGTTTCAACTGTATTTTGACTTTTCGTGAATTTATATTGCATTGTATATTTTTAGTGAACACATTTTCAACCTCACTGCGAGACTGTTTTTCTGGTATAAAATTTTACACATATGCATTTATATTATATGTATAATACTTTGTTTTACGTACACATTTGTGTCGATTAATTTTTAAGATGTGATGTCTTTTTCATTGTAATGCGCATTGAGCATCTTTTAGGAAATGGAAATGCGCAGTATAAATGCTATTTATTATTATTATTATTATTGACGGGTGCTCTGGTGTGGTTTGCTTCTTCTTTCTTATCAAATATCTATCGTCCTTATCTCCCTTCTTAATTTTTGTTCTTGTTTTTGTGTTTGTTACTCTCTTGTAACACCTCTTATCTTCAGAACTCATATGATGACCTTATTGTGTTGCAAGTGCCGTAAAACTTTGACTTAACTAAATAAAAAAAACAGCCCCTCCTGGGTCCACCCTGCCCTACTTTTTGAACAAGTTTGCACGACTTTTCAAATGTCTTGTGTGTTCCCCTGTGGTCCCCAGGCTGACACTCAGGCTGATGCAGCCCAAGAGTGGAGCAGACACTGGAGGCCACGGTGCTAGCAGGTCAGAAGACGACTGGCTTCCCCAGCAGCCGATGAGGGTGCAAGGTGGGAGAGTAATGTCGTATGACTTGGCTGTTACCGGGCCTACGCTTGTTTTTAAAAACAAAAGGGAGAAAAGTTTTTTTCAAATTTTTACAGACTACTTAACCTGTTTCATAATCAATGTGAACATTATGCCTGTGTTGCGAATCAGTCCCTTATATTTCAACAATAGTTTTATTGCTTAACTCTTGTCCTGCGTCTGTGCTGAGATGTGAATCTTATCAGCAACCGATTACGTCGGATGTTCCGGGCAGGCCGCCGGGGTCACTCAGTGTGTACTGTTGGTGTACAGCGCGTGCGCCTGGAAACGTGTGTTTTCGCCATGAACACCGCGAGAGTGTTAATTGATGATGAAAATAACGCTCTATCTTTCATAGCTTTCTATTTATAAAGTGTTACAAACACAAGAATAACCCTCTCTCATAAGCTGATAAGACATTACGAGTAGTTACGCCGATTCGAATAACCTTTCTCGATGCTCCTGCTGTTATGAATGACCTGAGGTCCGAAAGGGGATAATATAGGTCAATTTCCAAATGTTTGCACTCAAATTGTGCTTTGTACCTGCCCAGTGGTGTTCAAAATTATCAAACAAGCTTATTTTTTTATCAGGTAGTATCATTTCATACAAATTCAAGCTCAAGATTTTGTATAGAAAAATGGAAGTCTTGTTTCCTGACTATCCTTTCGAGATCCTCATGTCTAAGTGGGTCAATTTGTTCTATAATTTCATTGGATGAACGTCTAGAGCTACCAACTTGGCGTGTTTTGAATGAGATGTACGCCTAGGTTACGAACCAATGCAGGCGGTTCTAGAAGAAAGCCACAAATGCACACAAACTCAAGCAGACCGACACACACACTTGAGCTGCATGAATGCGGATCCAACGATGGACCCCAATTGAACGGGAGATGATGCTCTGCGTGCGTGCGCTGAGCTAGGGGCCAGACTGACACCGGACCAGAACACAGGGGAGGTGCCGAAATAGGCTTATCGGGCGATATAAACCTGGCCCCGCACGACAAGGGTTAAAATAAACCTACAGACTTGCATGCATAAATATTGTGAACACACATGTTGTGAAACGTGTGCATTGCAAACAGATTTTCAGATCCCGAATTGTTCTTATACATGTAAATATTCTTTGCTTTTGAAATACATGCATAGTGAAATTTGTATGTAATGAAAAGATTTCATCGTCCCGCTGATTTTGTTATGCATGTGCTGGACCGTATGTTTTTAGATAAAGAATAATTCAAGCTCTTGATGAGATTTGACTTCCATCGGGGTTTGAATCCTTTTTATTATAATTAGATTGCTACAAGAGTATTCTAGGCTCTGCTCTGAACCCTGTTTATTGGAAAAAGGGGTCCAATGTTTTATGATGTAAACTGTGTTGAAAATGGAACCAAAAAAGGGGGAGGGGTGGGGGATGTTAAAAACTCAAAATTATCCGAACAAGCCAGCCCTTCGCAACTTTGCTACTGTAAATGAATAAACGTACTTGGATGTCGGTTTCAGGTGAAGACCAGCTTGAGGATCAAAGTAGTGAGGACCACAACTCCTCAAGTGCCAGAAACAGCTTAGGGTAAGCACTGTTTATTGCGCTCCGAGAGAGAGAAAGAGAGAGATGGCTTTTGGTGGTCTGGAATACCAAGGAAATATTTTAAATTTACCCCTTGAAAGATTTTATTCTCCATTTTTTATCCCAACAAAATTTTTGATTTTATAAAGGCCATTGGTCTTTACTCGAAGATGTAAATGGTGTTATTTTTACATGTAAACTGCTATTTTTGATATTTCAACCATTTTCACTCACAAAGTAAAGCCAAGCTATGCTATAGACTAATGTTAAAATAACCACTTGTGTCCTGTATGCTCGTATAGCCCGATGCAGTTGCAAGCGCCGTACAACTTTTACCCAACATTAGAAGTGATTAATTCACATTCTGTAAACCTGTTACCATTTTTTATTTCTTTACTGGTAGAACGCCTTCTGTATTTTCATTTTACAGGGTCTCAGAAGTTCAAGAGAGATTACGGTCAAACCAACGCTTGCAGATGGAAATAGAGAAACAGCTGAAATCACTTGGAGAAAATATAACTGATGATTTACATCAAACAGATCAGTATTAAAATATTATGTCCGCAGGTCTTTTCAGAAATGTTTATTTTATATATGTGCGTATATATCTGTATATATACGAATATACATCTAACATCTGATTTCCTGAATGTTAACAATCTCGCAGGCGCCCTCTTTTATTTAAATATTAATAAAAGGAGACGTAAAACTGAAAATTTGTGGTACATATATTTTTTGTTACTGTTTTGGGAGATCAGTTGAATTTGTTTTGTTCTTCTCACTGCCTGTACTTTCATTTTTAGTATCTTGACTTGCCAAGTTTGCTGCAGGCTGTGTGCATTCTTCTTTTCAAACTACAGCGGTCTCTGAATGGGATATCGGACAAGAAAAATCTAGTTTTTTAAATAGAAAAGATTTTTCTTTATATTCATCTCTAGTTGATTTTGATTGTATGTACCTATGACGCATAGATTAGATTTGTATGAAGTTTTCTTTGCTAGTGTACTAAGTAGCAATTTTGGGGGAAGGGTTTAAGTAAAGGTTTGACAGATTAGTTGTAGCCAATGAGATTTACTCTCAACTCATGTCATCACTGTATATCTGTGACAATCTGTATGTTTAATAGAGGTTTAATGCTAGCTTGTCATAAATAGTAAAATATGAGAGAGAGATCATTTTAGGAAGCCATGAAGTTTGCAGTGAGATTTCTTGTAACCAATAAAGACATATACAGTAGTCTCCGCCTAAACGCATGTCATACAAAAGCACGCTCCACTCAAACTCAGGCTTTTGTCACATGACGGGTTTTTTACTATATTATTTAGACGAACAAACGCATGGCCACTTCTTCTTAACGCATGCTTCAATCCGTGAAACGCACTGACAGGCGAAGCTTGGTGAAGGGAAATTTTCGTTGCAATCTACACAGCTTGAATAAGACAACCCTGGCAACCGGATACCGGTATTTGACAAGCCTGGCCCTCATGCAGAGCAAAGAGAGTGATGGACAGAGTTTTCACGGACACATTGGTCGGATGGTATATTGGGGAGGGGAGGCTGAAATGTCTTCTGATTGGTCTCTCAAAATGTATTCTGATTGTTCCCTCAAAATGCGTCTTTGAGAAAAGGTTTCTGACTAAGTGTTTGATTGACTGCTTATGTAGTATTTAGTTAGGCCTATAATGCGCAAGACACTTGAATGCTGTAAAAGACAAGATAGGCCTCTTGTTAAAGATTAGTAAAGTAATCAGCTGTGCTTGATGAATGAATCGCAAGCGGAAAATCTGATGTCATCCATGCCTTTACCGAGTTGCAATAGATGACAGGCAGTTGGGATTGGTCGCTTTGAAAGCAGCGTGGCTGAGTAGAGCTTTTCCCTGGGACCACTTCTGTCATGAACGGTATCCTCTTATCTGTTCCCGACATTTTATAGTGCATTTATCAACAGTGAGTCCGTCTTTCTGCGCCCCCCCTCCTTCCCCAACCCATTCAACGGCTTTGTATTCATAATTCATAACCGCAGTTAGGGAATTCTACATAAAACAGTCACGTGTCATCACATTATCCACATTATCGACCCTCCAAGGGAGGTCACTAAAATATCAAGGAAATCAGATGATTGTGTCCCTTTCTCCCTTTGCACTGGTTCTTATAAAGGCATGCTCTGTATAAACCCATGCTTAGAGACCTTCCCAAACACCTGATGTTTAGGCAGAGACTACTGTACCAGTTTGAAAGCAGCACGAAATATGGTTTTAACAAGTACCAGAAGGATCTCATTCTCTCTATCTCTGTGGTTCTATATCTCCTTCTCTCTCTCCCTGTGGTTCTATATCTCCTTCTCTCTCTCCCTCTCTCCCTCTCTCTCTCTCTCTCTCTCTCTAATTCTTAGACCTTAGTAATAGTAATATCAGCCGGGACTCCTGAAGATTGTGACTGTTAAGTCACTTAATGTGTCCCTTTTGGGCTGTTCGCCTTTGTATTTCAATTTATTTATATTGTTCGTTCTGGCGATCAAACTTTGTGGCAAAATTTGCCTCTTCAGTGTTTTGTCGTCATTTTTTTTTGGTTCCATTTCATGTTACTTTTGAAACTTTTCACTCCCGAACCAGTCAATAGTCAATTGAACGCTGATAGAATTGTTTCAAAAGTCAAAATTTTTATATTTTGTTTGATCTACTCAAACAGTGAAGTCAGAATTAGATTTTGTTTCCATTTGTGGACGATGCATGAAAGGCGAGTCTTGTCATGCACCCGGTAATGCTCACTGTAGAAGAAGACACTTCATTGTTTGTTTAAAGTTGGAAATTTCTCTCGTGTTGTAATTTGAATTTTCACTGTGACTTTGATTTTTAATGTTAATTCATTCAATAGCATGATTTTTAACTTTTAAACCCACATAGAGTACACATTCTATCTATGCTTTATTGATCTTTGTGCCTCCTATGCTATGGAAAGGTGTTCAGTTATCAGCTAGATAAAAGTCTCCTTATTATAGATGAACAATTTAGTTTACTGTTAAGACTGACCACAATAATACTAAAACTTGTATTCAGTTTTCTGTGTACCGGTAGTGGAGAAAACCAGTGCTTCAATATCAGTTTTGATTTTATGTCCCTGTTGTTAGCTGCATAACGACTGGAAAAAAATGGTAAATTATATTCGTTTTAATTTATTAATACTACAGTGACAATTCGTGTACAGTGGATGAAAACAAAGGATAACTTTCTGGATCTATGATAATTTCCTGGCACCTGAAGAAAAAAAAAGCTGTTGTTCCCACTGCACTTGAGACAACAAAAGGTGAATTGAATATATTTTGTGAAATATTTACAAAGTGGAAATTTTTAAAGGTGTATAATGTATGAAAGCCCAAGTAGATATAGTTGGAACCTGAATTGACATCACTTTTTCGTCATCTTCGAATGTTGCTTTGCAGTTTGCAGCGCCTCATTCAAGCTTTTAAAAAGTCATATTTTGGGGAGGAGGATTTCTTGATTCTTTGGAGTGATGAAAATATGTTGAGGGTTGGTGATAGATCATTTTACTTTGTACAAATTCATCTGATATGACCCAGAGGCTTTGAACTATTGTAGGGAAAGCATCGTCTGGCAAGTTTATTGTACTGATAAGTATTTTGTTCTAATGATTGTATTGTGCTAACTTACTTGTAATGTACAGAATCTGCTAGGACTTATTGTCTCCGACCAGCATCTTGCACCATAAAGATATGAGTCCAGTTTCCACTGGAGAAAATATTTTTTTCTAATGTTTTCATCATTCTGCTTGAGATATAATACCTTCCTACAAAGCTTGGGTTGGTCTGTGACATTGTATTAAGTCTGTCCATGTAAACCATTCTCAGTCATTCTTCTTAATTGCAGTCTTGAAATATTGGTCTTTTGCCCTTTTATTAATGGTATGAGTGATCTAGATTCTTCTTAATTTTATTCCGCCAAGGCAGTTCTACCCTGAAACTAATAAATAGAAAACGAGTTGTTTCGTATGTTTTACTACAAACAGTGAAATAATCAATCATAGTCAAGTGCCTAGTGTGGTGAGCAGTAATGTGGAACAGTCTGAAAAGCAGGAAGCTATAAATACTCTTTTGAAAGGCAAATTTGAATACTGAAATTGAATTTTAATCATTTAGTTTCTGAGGATTTGTCTTGATGCTTGCCCCGAAATCTTGGAGAGATGAGATAATCCATGTTTTTAAAAAATTCATTTAAATTTAAGAAATAATATATTCTTTACAAAATAATCGGGGAAAAATGCAACTAGATTTACTTTTATTAGAAAAAGAATACTGCTTCCAACTTGCCAGATTCCACTGCGGTACAGAGAGGGTAAGTTATTTGTTTCTCTCACTGTAGTTGCAACTATGGGTTTTCATTCATGACCAGTACCCATCTCTCTAGTGACTTAAGAATATGACATTACAGTAGACAGAGAAATGAACTTTCATCGTCTTTGTTTGGTTGAGATCGCTTCACATGCTAAATTGTTATGTATTTTCAAAGTTTCCATGGATTTGTCTTAGTTTCAATTCCATGTGACCCTCCATTTTGTCGCTATTTACTTTAAAAATTAACACATGCACTTTTTTCTGGGTCAATTTTGACCATTAAAAAACTCAAAGAAAGAAGAATAACTTTACTTTTACTGTATAGCCTCGTTTTCAGTCAATCCTAATTTGGATATTCTTCCAAGACCTCATAAAAATGCATACTACTATGGCAGTGTCAAGTATTCAGCGAATAAATAGCCACACAACGCCGTTCTTGGTGCTAATCGATAGACTCGGCGCAACACCACTCTATTTGTTATGTTAATAAATGGTTATACGACAGTTTCAATTCTGGTGGTGTGGTGTTGAATTTCGCTCAACTATGATAGTAATAATGAATAAAAAGAAGGAGAAAAAGAAGAGGAATGACATGATCTGATGAAGACATGAGCACAGTCTTTTTTTTTTTTCAGAAATAAAAGTGCAAAAAAGATACAGATCTGTGCCAAAATATCTTTTTGGCAATTTTGCTGCTTCACTCTTTGTAAATGAAGCCTCATTTCCATTAACTGCACTATATGAATATGACTATAAAATATACAGTACAGTATAACAGGGATAGGTCAAACGCAGCAGACTCAAAATCACGCATCCCTGGAACTGTGCCTGCAGTCCCCTTTTTTAATTTCTTTATCTTTGTAAGATATCCCTCAAACTCCTGAGGTCGACCCTGACGAATTGGAACTATCCGTGTTATACTGTATGTATAATTTGTATATTTACCAGTACATATTATTGAGTTGTAAGTCGTTTACTAATATATTTGTGGTGCTACCACTGGAAAGATTCCGTCCTGTATCAATGATATTCACACAGTTTATTTAACTGTGATGTGCCAGGCCTTACTTACTACTCCTAATATGCCAACGATCTGGCTATACATGTGTTAGAATTTGTGTTGGCTTGGTTAATAACATATGTGAGGCAGCATGGTGAAATCAGGCGCTCGTCAAAATAATGAAATCGAAGAAAAAGGCATTTTCACAACAGTTTGGCAATTTTTTTCGAAATTTGTTTTTTTGCTAAGCACCTTTCACATTCAAATGAAAACACATTTCCATATAAACTTTAGTCAAAAACCTTGTTTAAAGGCACAAAACATAATTTTCAGTTTTCAAGGACACCAGCTATTGAAGTTACCAAACT